CATGCCAGAAAGGGATGTCCCAGAATGGGGCGAGCAACAGTTTTAAATGTCATGAAGAGGTTGCCACCCAATTCTCATTATTGCCAACACTTTCAACATCTAGGTAAATTACTTATCTAACACTCTAGCTTTACAATTTTTTTTTCATTCTGTCTATCTATCATCTATCTACCTACCTACCTATCTCCTTTTGCTTCATCTAAAATTTATTTGAAAGAAAAGTAAATGATAGGAATTTATTTTTAACACAATAGTAGAAATTCACGACTTAATGTTAAAAATCAAATTAAATTATTTTAGCTATTAAAGCTAGAGGTCATTTTCAATATGTCATTATTTATATTTGATTAGTAGTTTGTATGGGAAGAGTAGAAAGCCTGGGAAGGTATGTGAACTGAAGTGTGACAAGGAGGTGGGTTTCAAGAACAGCAACAGGGTAAAATCTCACACTAACCAGGTTACAAGTTCTCAGGGACATTTTCATTGTAGGAAGTCTTCTGCTAACTTACTGAATTCATTTGCAAATGTAAATGTAGGCTGTGCTTGTCTTCTGGTATTAGATGCAACCATGACCCTCTCCCATGTTTATATGTGAAAAACATAGGACAAGAGGATATTTTATTCTATTTATTCTGCTGGGCTAGAAAGATATGACATGAGCGTTAACACTTTAAAAATGATTATGCTTGAAGCCCACAAAACTCAGAGCTATCTTCTAAACTCTAACCCATAGACTTCCACTATTTCCTCACTGCTAAGATACAGAAAATATGAATTACATGATAATCATTTGACGCTACAAGATTTAGGATGAGACTATAATATTAATTTTTGGCTACCAATTTGTACCTGCCTGCCCTGACTTGCACAGATTCACATGGCAGGTAGCTCCATAAGGACATATTTCACTGATCTCTTAACCGAGGGTCAGAATCTTTGAACATCAGATTAGCTGAAATTTGGAAGGCTGCTGGGTACATTTCTCAGTTTCCAGAGGCTGAGGAGTTCTTGTGGGACCAGGCAATTGAGAGAACAGCAGTGAAAGGGAACCATAGCTACTGGTAGAGCCACCCAAACAGCCATTCATTTAAAAATATAAAGAATTTGCTGTGTTCTGGCATTTGAGAAACTGATATGCATTACAGATATGATCCTTGTCCTTGTAGAGCTTCCAAGTTAGTAAGAAAGACAGTCAAATAAGCAACGCCAGCAAGTTTGTGATAGAGTTAGCACATGGCATAAGGCCCTAACTAAATGGGGGTTAAAGGATGTTCAGGAAACCTTTTCTAGAAATATTGACTTTTAAGATGAGACTTTGAAACATGAGTATGATTCAGCCAGGCATAAAGAAAGTGTGTTCCAGAAGGTAAAAATGTCAGAGAAGTTCCAAGCAGACAACAGCATGGATGCAGAGCTTGATTCATCAAGAAACAGAAAGCGGTCCAATATGAATGGACTACAGATCTGAGGATGGATAGGTGGGAAGGGCAAGTCCAGGTAGGCTGGGTGAAGGAGCTTGGATATTTTCCTAAAGCAATGGGATTCACTGGAAGAAGGGGAGTGCCATGAACAGATTTCTCCTTTTAAAAGATTATTGGATTACTGGTAGCCTGTGGGATGGAAAGTGAATTGAAGGGAGCAATAAAGCCCAATGAGGTGACAATTACAGAAACCCAGGTGAGATGAAGAGACCTGGACAGACAGCATGAAATGAGTGCACTGGAGAAACATTTAGACATGACTTTATGAGTTCTTACCTAGGGGCTAGTGAAAAGCTCAGACTAAGATAGAGGAAAATGAAGAATTCAGTTTTGGACTTGCTAAATCAGCCCTTCCTTTCCCTCCTCTCCATCCCTCCCTCTCTCCCTCCCTCCCTGCTTCCACTGTCCCTCCTTCTTCCATTCCTCCCTTCTTTCCCCTCCTCCTCTTCCTTTTATTCTCCTCCTCCTTTTCTTTCCCCATCCTCTCTCCCCTTTTAACATAAATTCAGGCAAGCCATAAAGAAGTGATACCAACTGAGTGTGACTATCTCTTCACTCAACCCTCTCTGCTCACTGTCCTTCATTAAATAACCAGTCTTGCCTGATACTCTATTTGTATTTTCATTACTTTTCTCAGTGTTAGTTAACACACTTATAGTTTTCTTTGTACTTTCTCTGTCAAAGCACGTACTTCATTAGCCTACCTCAGGAACTTTCCTTTCTGGAACCTTATGCTGAAGGAAACAAAAATGAAGTAAATAAACAGAAACGTTCCAGGCCTCTAGGGGAATGCCCTTACTTGTAGACTATCTTATATACATGTGCATGAGAACTAGGAAGCCCTAATTTCAAGTATATAAAAGAAATGAAGTGAACTAATTAACGTAACCTATTTAGCATATGTTCAGATCTCTTCATTGACCCCCAAACTCCTAGCCCTAGCTACCTGGGACATTCACTTACTGTCTCTTATACCTTCTCTCACATTCATAAGAAGCAGTCATGCAGGAGGGAAGTGCTATGGATATCCCCTTAAAATGCTCATGTCCATGGAATGCACATTCATAGAATTCCACTACTGGAAATAGTAATCATTACTTGTTTTCAATTGGGGAAAGTTTTGATTAGAGGAGCATCTAGACAATTTTGGGAGTTATACTAACAGGACCAGGACTAGGAATCAAGGGCCAACTCTACACTTATACAACCCTAAGTGTGATATCTTCTTAAAATTTTTTTTTATGTAGTAAAATACACATAAAATTTACTATTTTAACCATTTTTATGTATACAATTCGTGGTATTAAGTACATTCACATTGTTGTGCAGCCATCACCACCATCCATCTCCAGAACTTTTTTCTTCCTAAAGTGAAATTCTGTACCTATTAAACAGTAACTCCTGATGTCCCCCTACCCCTAAGCCCCTGGCAAACACTTTGTTTCTATCTGAATTTGATGACTCTAGGTACCTCAATAAGCAGAATCATAAAATGATTGTCCTTTTGTGACTGGTTTATTTCATTTAACATAATACTCTCAAGGTTCATTCATATTGTAGCATATGTCAGAATCTCCTTCCTTTTTAATGCCAAATAATATTCCATTGTGTGTCTATACCACATTTTATTTATTGTTCATCCATAAATGGACGTTTGAGTTGCAAATGATACTGCTATGAACATAGATGTACAGATATGTCCTTGAGTCCTTGCTTTCAGTTCTTTTGGGTATATACCCAGAATTGGAATTGCTGGATCATACTGTAATTCTAGGTTTAATTTTTTGAGCAACTGCCATATTTCTTTTTCCACAGTATTTACGCCATTTTACATATCAATCAATAGTGCAAAAGGATTCCAACTTCTCCATATCCTCTCCAAAACTAGATATTTTCTGCTTTTTTTGATAGTAGTCATTCTAATGGATGTGAGTGGTATTTCACTGTAGTTTTGATTTGCATTTCTCTAATGATTAATGATGTTGAATATCTTTTTATGTATTTATTGGCCACTTGTATATCTTCTTTGGACAAATGTCTATTCAAGTCTTTTGTCTATTTTTCATTGGGCTGTTTGTTGAATTGTAGTTATATATTCTGGATATTAATTCCTTATCAGATATATGGCTTGCCAATATTTTTTCCATCTCATAAGTTGTGTTTTCACTCTGTTCATTGTGTCCTTCGATGTGCAGAGATGGCCCCTTAAATTTCATGTCATAGGTACTTCCCTTGCCTCACCCTAGTCCTGGCCCTGAGATTAGCCCTTGTCTCTTTCACAGCATTTGACAAGTATTTGAAGCAACCAAGATCACGCCTGGGTTTCTGAAAGTTTAATTAAGCACGGAATTTCATTCATCCATCTGAACTCCTTTGATAACCTGGGATATCCCAATTTGAATATTGTTTATGAAGTATAACTTAGCCTATCCTAATTGTTATAAAAGATGAGTAGCCTCAAGATTGCTGAGAAGACTTCCAATATGTCATTCCTAGAAGAGATAAGCTTTTAAACTATCATTAAATGATTGTAATGTGCCCAGCACTGTTATATTTTACATGTGGTCACTCCCTTAATCCTTACAATGGTGAATGATGTTTGCATCCCCACTTTACACATGAGAGTAGGGGTAAGAAAGGTTGAAAAATTGTTGAAGGCAACTTGACTAATAGGTGGCAGAACTAGAATTTGAATCATGGAAGCCTGGTTCTAGTTTCTACACTCTTAACCAAATATAAACAGTAGCTGATACATCATCTTCCTCAATAATTTTAAAAGTTATTTCAGACTTTGGCATCTTCCAATATAGTTAGTTTCCAGAAAACTGCATTTTTAGGCTTCTCTTAGACACTATGGCTCCTCTCCTAGCATTTCTTTCCTTCTCTTGGCTTAAAGAAATTACTCATCTTCTGTTCTCACATAAGCAAGATCTCTGCCTCCTGTAATTCCATCCAGTCCTACTTAACATACTATCCATGGCTATATCCATGAGATAAAATCGGGGCCAACAATTGAACCCCAAGCATATTGTGTTAGAGCAAAAATGCTCAATCTCTGCCCCTCCTATCCCAACAGACTTGGAGAGCTAACAGAAAGCTACACCTGATTTGGAAATGCAAACCCCATTCATCTGGCTAAGAGCCAGCAAATGGACACTTGCTTAGCAAGTTCAATGTCTCAGTAGGTCATACATCTCAGGAAAAGGAATAATTCATGTTCTCTCACAGTCTCTTTGGTTAATAATGTGTTCAATATCCTCCCATATTTTTTTCACCAACACTGAATTTAATAGATAAGGTAACATAGCCTAACCTAACTCATATAATAGGATGTCTCATTGAATCAAGTCTATCTAGAAAAGACTCACTTTTGTAGGTTCATGGAACTCCTTAGTTGCTGACAAATGTCTCCATGGCTTCCTTTCATCTGCCTGGGCTCTAAAACCCATTGATCTTGAGGAGAAAATTGTTTTTATCCCTCAGACTATTCTAATCATTGTGAATTATCATTTTCTGCAGGATCCTATGGATCTACTCTCAGACGGGTACGTGGGTGTATCCTGTGTTTGCCAAATTCAGCCCAGTAGGTATAGCAGTCCTCTTCTCTCTCAGCTACATCTTTACTACTGGCATCTACCTACTCGAAGAGAAGCTCAACCACTGGAAATGGGGTCAGTTTATTTCCCTTTTACCTACAGAAACAATTCTTCCTTACCATCTCTCCACTCTTCCTAGAAACAGAGGAGAAACAAGTCCAAAGCAGAGGGCAGTGATGCTTGATGCCTTTGTCCAAGGACTCAGATGGGTCCTATCAAAGTAGGCAAAGGAAAAGCCTGGGGGAAGTTCGCACTTTCTCAAAGGGCCCTATCAAATTTTCTCCCCTTCTCACCCAAACAACACCTCATTTAAGGCTAAAAATAATCTTGTTTAGAGAGCTTAGCACCCGGAGAGCAAGATGTTACCACATGAAAAAATAGACTCAGTCTCCTTCTCTTAAGTAGGGGCTTGAGGGTAACAAGATGTTTAAATGTTAGGTTTTTGGTTTTTGTTTGTTTGATTTTGTTTTAAAGAAATGGGTGTAAATGACCCTTTTATGTCTTCCTACCTCAATAGTGCCTTCTCGGATGAGTTCCCATCCCTCTCCCATTAGGTTGTTTGTCAACATTTAGTAAAGCATTTACCAGATAAAAATCACATCCTGTACTTGAGATTGAAATTCTCATTTAGACAGGGTCTTGGGCAATGGGAGTATGTCAGTAAGCTAAGCTTTCTAATTATAGGTGAGTAAAATCATGTCGCTTTTTCGTAAGAAAAAAATAATCTTAACTCAGTTGATTTAAAAATCTAAGATTTTATTCTCCTCCCTCCTTCCCCTGCTGTCCCAACTCCAAAATATTTTGTTGGAAAATTAACCACCAAAAAGTCAGGTTGCAAAATACCCATGATTTTTTCCCTACCCAAAGAGAAGAGCAGGAGCTCTACTCTGCAAGAGTCACATACAGTCCCCCACATCACATGCCTACATGCCATTCTTTTCTATCAAAATAGAAATAGCAGAAGTGGCATCTTCCACCCAATTTATGAACTGGTGTAAAAACATAAGCCATGTATGCAAAAAAAAAAAAAAAAAAAAAAAAAAAAAAAAAAAAAAAAAAAAAAAAAAAAAAAAAAAAAAAAAAAAAAAAAATTAAAACTCTTACCCCATACCCCAAG